TTCTTAAACCTTTGCTTAAATTGAAAGTCAGACCCACAGTGCCTCACACACATAGCAGAAGATGTGAGCACCTTTCTGTGTACAGTCAGTCTCGCTGGAGGGATACAGGTGCTTTTTGGTTTGTATTCCACAGGCTTTCAGACAAACTTAAGGTTTTCTTTCTGGTCTCCACATCCAGTGATTGATGAGAACTAGGGAAGAGGGCATCTGTTAGTGAAATTAGGCTCCCTGGGGCCACAGGTAGTCAAAATTTAGTCACTCAGCATAACAGAGATTCCCAGAGACAGCCTGAAGGTGCTGAAAGTGAAATAAATTGCCCCAGGGCAATAAGCCTCTTGAGCTGGAGCCAGGAAGTTGGGGAGCACCTGATTCAAAAGTCAGACAAGTGTGTTCTGTGTGGATCCTAATTAGGAGACCACCTTTATTAATGACCCCTTGAGACCTACTAACAGAATGGAAACAGCTGTGTCAGAACACCTCATGGTAGAAAAGGGCCTACATTTAATGGCAACTCCTGTGTGATTTTGTTATTGAAGTTGGTTCTGTATATGCCTAGAATCATTAAGCATTTGAAAATCACATCTTAGTAGAAGAGACTGGAAAATATGACAGCAGAGTGAGGCATTAATTCCCAGAAGGAAAGCTGCCTCTCCTCTTGTTCCTAATTTCACAGCAGTGAGAAATGATGCAAGATTTTGGGCTCAGCTACAAAAAGGCAAATTCAGCACTCCCATGAAAGTATTCTTGGGTTATCCTGAGCTCTATCCACATTCCTTTTGTGAGTTTTCATTGTCGGCAGAAAAATCTGGGGCTAGGATTGAAAATTCTGTAACATCTAAAATGGCCCAGCATTGTGACTTGTGAATGATGGCTCTAACTACTTCTCCAGGGTGAAATTCCTGCAAATCACGTATTGATGAATCAATTGCCCCAAATGCCAGTCACCATTACAAGATGTTACCAAGAGATATGCTAATTCCTCTCCAGAACGCTATTACTTTATGTCCATTGCTAATCGTGGGAGGAAAAGCTGTGCAAGTTTCTAAGATAAAAATAATCCAAAAGCTAGATATATAATAATCCTTGCCCTGTGAATTCCATTCTAACAGTCACTTGTGTTCATGGTAATAGAGTGAGAAGACCTATTCTAACATGCCAAAGAGAATTCCAAACCACATATATAAATATGAACTAAATATTATAAGCTATTTCCTAAATTTGTCAGTCACCTTTTGAAGCAGAATTAACACTTTTAGATCCCTGATGTTTGAATACAACATTGCAGCCTTAATTTAATGAAAAGAATTTGAGTAACCCCAATAAATGAATGTATCCTCCAAATTTATGTAAGAGTAGAGTTCTGCAATAGGAATGTTAAGTTGATAATATCTGTCAATATAAGCAGTAACTCAAACCACTGTTATTTCCACAGGGAAATGACTCTCTGCATCATATTACTTGAGGGTTGTTTTCTTCAAAATTTTTTCTTTACTCTCCATCATTGCTGAGAACTAAAACATGGTATCCAAGAAGTTCTTACAAATAAAGATATCCTTTAGAGAGTTAACACAGTAAAGCATCAACATAATAGCTTAAATTTGCTATTTTCACCTTTGGGTTCCCTGTGGGTTCTTAACTATGTCCTTGTCTTTATTACCAACTAAAGGGTTGTATTTTTGTGTGTCTGTGTCTGTAGAGGCTAGGAGTGCCTCAAAGTCTGGGAATCTCCTTATTCATCCCCATGTTCTCTTGTCCTTTCTTCCCATTAGCTCCCTAGTGTCTGGCAAAGTGCCAGGCAAATAGTGCTCAATAGATAGCTATTGAATAAAAGAATTTCTAATTAAATTTAACAATACAGCTAGGTGATTTAAAAATTCAGGGTGAAATTGCCAGAAAGTTATTTTCTTTCTATTATGGAAGAAATAAACTTTATTTTAAATTATTTTATTTAAAGCAAAATTAACTCTCAATAAATGTCCGCTGTAATGGAAGGGAAAGAATTGGAATGACCAAGCTGTAAAGACTCTATTTTAGCCACCTGTGGTCCATCCTAACACTCTTCAACCATTTAACAATTCCGAAGTATCTCTATCATACACCTTCACTTCCATTGAACGTTTTCAGAAGAAAGACAAGCACTATATTCAGTATGTTGTTTTGTACTTTATCATGAAGGCCCTGAGTCAAGACATACTATTTTTCTTAGGCAGAATAATCATAGCTCTTCCTAAAAATCACAGAAGTAGAGCCAATGGGGTCTTTGAGCTATGATTATTTTGCTTGTAATTATCACAAGAAAAAAAATATTAAAATTTTACTGGGAAATTTCAGTGCATAGTCCAAGGCTTTCAAGATAAGCTTGGCACTTGTTACCACTATGGTCACATGAACTGCTTTGACGTATTTCTAAGTGAACCTACTACTGAGGTGGAGAGTGAAGGCAGAACAAGAATTATATTACTGTATTTTTTCTTTTTTTTTTTTTTTTTTTAGCTAAGATGGCTTTAACTCAATATGTTTAAACAATAAGGAAATGTGTTGGCATTGGCTAGATTTGCTGGAAGTGCAAAGGAAGGGCAGCTTTAAGGCTAGCATAACTTTGTGAACACAATTCTTCGGCCTCTAGTTTCTTATCTCTGGTTACACCACACGTTAGCCCCATCCTTAAGATGAAGTCAAGATGGCCACAATTCTTCTAGACCTCACATCTATATAGAACATTAACAGAGGAACAAAAAAGCTATTCTTAGCTGTGCTCTCTTGTAACATGGAGAAAATATTTCCCAGAAGTTTTGCAAACTTCATCTCATACTTCACATGCTCACTCCTGAAACAAGCTCATACTTAGGGATATGCCAGTCCCTGAAACCAAGATTATTCTTCCAATCACATGACTTCTATACGAAGTGGGGGCATGAACTGGGAGTCAAGGAGACAATGGTCATTCCCAAACACCATCATTGCACTAGGACTATACAGTACACTTTTAAAAACAACTCTGACGCTTTTAGCTAGAGATGAAACTTCTTTCTTTTGAACTCTGCCCAAAATGACAAAAAGGTTATAATGAAGGAGGGTTAAGAACCCTAAATCACATATTATAAAATATCTGTCAAACATTATGAAATTGGGGTCAACATAAAATAGGACATTGAAAGATAACATGTGCTTTGTCAGACCTCAGGCAAAATATAGATGAACTAAAATAAATGTCCCTGTCCAAAAAGGCACATGCAAGGATGTTGCAATTAGAAAAGCAATAGTTGGCTGTATGTCAGGCAGCAGGGGTGACTATAGGAAAGCAGGTAATGTGATTTGACAGAGGTTGATAGATGTAAGACCAGATCCAACAGGATCTCTGAATAGAATTTCTGAAGAATAGAACAGAAAACATGAAAAAGAGAAAAGTATTCAGCAATACAATAAAAGAAAACTCTTCTGGAATAATTGACAGAATTGAATCTACAGGTTGAAAGAACTCAATTTTAACCCAGAAAAAAATGACACAGAATAATCAACACCAAGCTATAACCTGAAAAAAATTATAGATCTTCAAGAACAAAGAAAAACGTGGATCTTAAGTGCACCCACACATAGAAAAGTAAGTTTCCTAAAAAGCAGAAATAATCAGGTCTACCTCAGAGACTTCTCTTCAGTAACAATGCCATAAATAGTGCATGAGTGTCTACATACTTCTAAAGGAAAAGGAGTATACTCAAGAATTTGGTGAGGTTTTAAGGAAGTGGGACTTTTCTTTGGATTGAACAAGATTAGGAAGTAGTAATAATTTTGTGACTGGGTACCCTGGTAATTCCTGTCTGAAAGGTGAGAAAAATTAAGCACAACTGAAGTTATGATTGGTAGAGAATCAGTAATTACTCATATTATACAGAATATGGGGATGTTTGATTATTTTTTGTGGTTTGGACAATGTTGATTTTTTTGTCTGAAAATGGTTTACTATTAAATTATTTATGTTCAACAGGAAGACACCACAGTGTAGCTGCAAATGCCAGGTCAGCTCTTGGCCATCAGTGACTGCCATCCTGTTACTCAATTTTCTGTAGTAGAAAGTTACTGTATTTGTCCATTTTCATGCTGCTGATAAAGACATACCTGAGACTGGACAATGTATAAAGAAAAAGAGGTTTAATGGACTCACAGTTCCACGTGGCTGGGGAGGCCTCACAATCATGGTGGAAGGTGAAAGGCATTTCCTACATGGCAACAGATGGGAGGGAGAGAGAGAGAGAGGGAGAGAGAGAAGGAAAGCCAACTGAAAGGGCTCTCCCCTTGTAAAATCATCAGACTGTGTGAGACTTACTACCATGAGAACGGTATGGGGGAAATTGCCCCCATGATTCAATTATCTCCCACCGGGTCCCTCCTACAACATGTGGGAATTATGGGAGCTACAAATCAAGATGAGATTTGGGTGGGGACACAGCCAAACTATATTTGTATGTGTCTTGGGAATTTTGGTATTCCTCAGGAAATCTTGAGCCTTGCACACCTAATTGATAATTAAAAGTTGCTATAATGTGCAAATTTAGTTCCAAGATTTCATTATGTTTCTGCTGTTCTAATTTTTTGAGTGTGAAGGTCTTGTGCTGAAACAGTAATAAAAATTATTTCAATAGTCATCATCATAACAATGGCCATTTATTGTGTCTAAGATGTACCAGGCAGCATTTTAGGTGCTCTATATTTGGATTCTTTATTACCTCTCTCTAAATCCAATGAGGTAGATATAATTACAGAAAATGAAAGAGAAGCTCTGAGACTGTACATAACTTCCTCAAAGTCACACACAAAAAGGTGGCAGAGACACAATACATTTTTACATCTCTCTAACCTCAAATCCCATATCATTTCTATTGATAATTGTTAATAAGGTTTCAGAAACCTATTATTTTTTATTATCAAAATAAAATAGAAAATGCTAAAAAGCAGCAGCAGTAGCAACAGTAAAATAGAAAGTAAGTTTTTATTTGAAAACTTTTGAGATTGCCTCCTTCCCCTTAAAAATGTAAGGATTTTTTTAAATTTTTAGTGGATTATCTGATATTTGCATAATATTCTTCCTGTCATACTCTTGTTCTTTCAGTTGATCCCAACTAACTGGTTAAAAATGAGCTTCTGCTTGCTGCTTTCTAAAGAAGAATGGCTTAGAATGGATTCCTTTCTGTGCTTTGGAGAAACTTGTTACTGGTAGGTAAAACTTAGGTAATAAATTTCTCCATAGCAGGAACCCATCGATGATTATATAAACCGCAGATTATCTTAGAGAAAAAGTCATGACCTAGATAGCAACAGAAAGTCCTCCTCTTATGGTCCCTTCTGGTTCATGAGCTGATAAGCTAGGGAGGACAATGAAATATAGTGACATTTTTGGCTGACGGTTATTTTACATTTTCCTTTCTAGAGTTGCCCTTGAACTAAAACACTGCATGAAAGACACCACACTTCACTAATACAATTTCCCAAGAATCAGCTCACCAAGAAGGCTTTATCTTTTACAAAGTTTGCCCCAAGTTCTCAAAAAGGGCCATGACTACTAAAAGAGGTGTTGAGTCTTTAAAGTTATAACACTTTCCTATGCTTCCTTCTTTGAGTTATAATCTCTGATTATCCTCTAGAATGTTGAAGAAATGGAAGAGGAGAGATGAGGGATTATATTCAATTAGGGTTTGGGGTAAAGAGTTAACCTTGTTCAGAGGTCTCAACCTTCCAGTGTCTGTTCAACCAAAGGTGAAGATGCTCCAGGCTGCAGAAGGAGATAATAGTAGTCTGACTACGGCCAATGCCTGATGAGCCCCTTGGTTTGGACAGAGCAGGATAAGGAAAAGGGATGGGAGAAGAGCTATCTCAAGGTGGTGTGAACTACTCAGCAGGAATAAATAATTATTCATATGTATTTACTTGACCACTAGAGCTGATATTGATGTATAAAGATTTTTACAGAGGAGCACAAGTTTTGGAATTTTCTTTTGTCAAGTTATTACCTAGTTGTTGCTTACCCCTCTGTGTTTCAATGAACCTAGAAGGAATGCTTGCAAGTTCCCCACTCCTGTCTGGCCCTTTGCTGACCCCTGTGCCTCCTCACAGTTGCTCCCTTCCTCTCACCCTTTTCCCAACTGTGGGCACAGATCTGTCTCCCAATTCTCCAAACACAGCTAAGACCAGACAACTGTATTAAACCAAATCTTACTTTTGGCTTAAGAATTGCAAAAGGGAGTTAAAATATAGAAAACTTTAAAAATTGGTACAAAGCTAGAATGTGCTCAAGGTCCCCAGGCCCTAGCAGGGTCCCATGTTAGTGTCTCCTTCCTTATGCCATGGTCTTCTTCTCAGGTGCCAGTGCCAGCCTGGCCTTGTCACCACTCCCCAGCCCAAGCCCTCAACCCCTCAGATGCTTCCTCTACTCCCGGGCTCAGAGCAGCTTCTGCTGGGATATGATTCCTCTCACAAGGAGACAGACTTGTGACTGAGCGTTAGAGCTCATCATCCTCACCACTGAAAAAAATTATTTTTTGCTTCATCCTTGCTTAACCAGAGATCTAAAATAGATGTTTTCCCAATACCAAAAAGGACAATTTTATCTTAAAGTGAACTCATATCATATCTCTAGTTCTAATAGAAGTTTCGGACCCTTATCCCCAATTCTGTCAAAAACTACAGGAGGTCTAATCTTGGGCAAATCACCCTGTTAAATGAGGTATAGACAATATATTGTTGACATTATCATATGTGTTATCATCTCTATTGACAAAACAAAAACCAGTTGATCTTGTCTCTCATATCAAAAAAAAAAAAAATTGTGGCTGTATTTCTTTCAATGTCCTCCTTTCTGGAAAGAAAATCTCTGTGGAGATCCCTTGAACCAGAATAATGTCAAATTTCTAACATCATTGTGGAATTAAAAAGGTAATAAGCAATTTAGTAGCATAAAGGCACTTACTTTTTTTTCCTAGTGAAAACACTGATACACTTTAACCTATCCTTAGTCATGCAGTGGGAGGCTTTGCATATTCCCATTGACACAATGGGGAACCAGTGGTGTTTCCTCAGTGACAACAGAACCACCCAAAGCCATGGTCCTTTAAAATTTCCACATAAACATTTTTGTAACCCAGCCCCATCTGATACCTCCATTTTGCCAGAAGCCTGTAAGTTATTAAGCAATTATATCTGTAACTCATGTTTCTTCACAAAATGAGCTTCTTCATGTAATAAGCTTGGAGCTGGGTTCTGCCAATTTCATTCAATGTGGCTGTTTAACGGTGATGTAAGTGACTTCTTGGCCATCTGTAGTTAAATTATTTTCTCATGCTCCTTGTTTCCATTTCCCTTGTTGAGAAGGTCATTTTCTTGTATTTACATGACTACTTTCACAAACTCCCTGGCCTTTCTCTGTAGGGTTTTGCATCCTGATTCAGTCTTTTACACAAGGTTACGGTCCCCTGACTAATCCCCATGGATTCTGTTTTTTTTTTTTTCTTTTCATATTGTCCAACCTTCACCCCACTCCCCTGGCTGCTTCACACTGCTCATTATAGCTTTTCTGATAGCTGACAGAGTCATCATATTGGTCTGAAATTTGTCTATAGCAATATAGCAACTAGGGTTACGACCTTCAGACTTCTGGAGTAACCAGGAGATATTGCCCAATTTGCATTAAGATGCTATAACATGGCTTCTGTTAGGTCTCCCCCCATTTTCAGCCTAGGAGTACAGGTGGCTGAATGATCTCATTAAGATCCATAGGTTTGCCTATTAAATGCTGCCTTCCCTTTTTATGACTATTTATGTTCAGGATTTCTAGTTAGTTTATTGCCATCTTATACATATCATGCTCATAAACTGGCGGTATGTGGGAAGAACACTGGACTTTTGGGTGAGAAGAGCAAGTGTTAAGTATCACTCAGCACTCACATAATAGTGTGAGGGGTGATTTCTTTAACTTTCTCTAAGCCTCAGTTTCCTCATATTTAAAAGGAGGCTAATACTGACCTCATACAGATGTAAAGATTCAATGAGATAATGAGCCTGGCACCAAAACTTCTCAGCTCTGTTGATTATAAGTATACTCAAGGTCATCTCACATGGCATTAGAAAGGTTAGCTGAATGCTATCAATGCACTTTTAGTGAAAGGTTCAATATGTGTACCACAGCAACTGCATACACTTTTATTTGGAGAGAGAGTCTTGCTGTCACCCAGGCTGGAATGCAGTGGTGAAATCTGCCTTCTGGGTTCAAGTGACTCTCGTGCCTCAGCCTCCCCAAATAGCTGGGATTACAGGTGTGCACCACCACACCTGACTAATTTTCGTAGTTTTAGCAGAGATAGGGTTTCACCATGTTGGCCAGGCTGGTCTTGAACTCCTGCCCTCAAGTGATCTGCCCACCTTGGCCTCCCAAAGTGATGGGATTACATGCATGAGCCGCCATGCCCAGCCTACACACTCTTGAGCCCTGTAGTTGGTAACTCTTTCAACATGTCTTAATGTACTGTTCAGAGTAGGTTCTTCTCTCCCAGCTTGTGCCACAACTTCCAATTATGTTTGATTCCAAAAGGCATCATCATCATTATAATTTGTGAAAATCACAATTTTTATACACTCACTATGTACCAGGTGCTGTGCTAGGTGCTCAAAGATTTTATTATGCAGTTTGAGTCCTCAAGGAGATTATATTTTAGGTAGAGAGATTATAAAAATGTAAAAGAAATAACAAAGCAAAGGAATGTAAATTTAATCAAAGCAGATAAGTGTTGAAAATTGGAGGAAATAAAGATTCTTGTGGGGTTTTGTGAATGTGGCACAGTGTTCTAGCTAATTCCTTCTCCCCTCCCCCTAACTCTCTCCCTACCTTTCACATAGAGCATTTCTTCTTCTTCCTTTCAGTAATAAAACTCTGATTGTAGCTAGACTTAGACGCCCAGGTACAGATTACATTTTCCAGCCTCCTTTGCAGCTAGGTGTGGTCATATGACTAGGTACTTTCCCAAGAGATGTGAGTGGTAAGTGATATGTGCAATTTCCGTGTTATATTCTTCAAAGGAAGCTGCTTTGTTCTCAATTTTCTCTTTTGCCTTACTGCAGGCTGAAACGTGGACCTGTGCCTTTGCCCTTACTGAAGCTCTTATCATGTGAATGAGTAGATCTCCCGGAAGATCGCTGAATAATCTCATAGATAAGAGTGGACTACCCATCCCCAACTGCCTGCCTACCTCTAGTCACTATTTGGATAGGGTAAGGTTTTGAGTGTAGATAACCGGAGAATGGTGATACCACAGAGGAGGTAGTATAAAATTATATACAAAGAAAACCAGTTTTATATATGAGGTGATAGCAGTGCATCTATTAGGAAATATCCATCTAGCAGAAATGCAAAATTAAAGCTCTGGGGAGCTTCAGGTTGGAGATATACACACATGAGGCATCTGAAAGAAAAGTTGAAACCATGGGGAAAAGTATAACAGAGAGGTAAATGGAAAACAGGAAAACAGTGCTTTTGAAGGTCAAGGGAAGAGTTTTGACAAAATAGGGGTCACTCAACATGGGAATAGGTGAGAGGAAAGGTAACTATAGAAAGAGATTAAACTTGATTCTTAAGTTCATGTTCTCTTTATCTGTGTGTCCTCACATCTAGCTTTACTTAAAATCTTTTTTCCCCTAAAATCTGATCTTTTTTATTTCTCTGTGTTGCCAAGACACTCATCACATCCTGCCTTGATTTACACAAACTCCTTCTCACTGGCCTCTTTCTCATCAGTTTCCTACTCCAGTCTTTGCCAAATGTTACTGCCAAGTCCATTTTCCTTTCCTGCTGTTCAGACTATGTTTCTCCCACTCTGCTTTGGCTTCTCTTCACCTTCCAGCCTCCCCACAACTCTGCACCTGCTTACAACTCTTCCTCATCCTTCCTACAGCCCCATCCCACACCCCGCCTCCACTCCTTCCTCTGGCCCTCTCATCTCCTCTGGCATCTTTAACCACCAAATTGAGGCACTCCAAGCTTCAGGCCAACACCCTACATTATCCCTCCCAGCAGATCTCCCAACTCATGCACATCAACACAGCTCCTATTTCTGCTGCAAAGAAGCCCAGTGTATCTACTTCCTGTATGATGCTTGCTAGCTCTAATAACAGAATGCTATGTGCTGCATTCTCCCAGGGTATGCAAAGGAGTATTGCTTGGACTGTATTCTTTCCTGTCCCCATTACCTCTAGGGCCTTGTATTGTTTGTTCTGGAACAACATGATTTCATTACTGTCGGATAATTTGTTTCTTGTAAAGTACTTACTGGTGTTACCTTGGGGTGCTACATAACAATACAAATCTCACAATGCCTCGCTGATGAGAGGGCCTAAACCCAACCAGTTTGTCCAAAAGTACCTTGAGTTTTTTTCTCAGTAGTTCATGGGGAAAAAAAACCCCGTATCTGTCAGGAAAAGGGAGAAAATTAATGTGCAGAAAGGAAGGTATGATGTTTCTATTGTTCTCAACAAATAACGTTCATGGGAAAAAAACCCATATATTTGAATGAACCAGAAATTCAATGAGCATTATAGATAAAATAATGTAAAAACTCCTTTCTAGGTATGGAAGATATGTCTTGAAGGACATATCTTACTGTTATCACAGAAAGCAATTATTTGCCTTGCTACCTCCAAAACTTTGCTCATGCCAGTTTCATTTAGCATATATATAATATAATTCATTTTAGAGAAAATACTCACCATAAAACTCAAATAACTAAGATGTATAAGTATATAGGCAAGTATGGAGAAAAAAACATATATATACATCTCTAGGAGCATGATTAAAATAATTGTTGCTTAATGCTAAATTTTCTTCTCAACAAGAAAAAAATTTGAATACTTATCATTAATTTAAATGTACTTGGTATTTTCACATAATGCAGAAACTGAATAATAAAGTTTTGCATTTATTTTAAATGATAAAAAAATCCCTTGAAATTCAGCATAGAGGTTTCATTTTCAATAAGAATCAGAAAACTGTCAAAGACAAACTGTTTTCCATCATACAAATGACTTGATCACAGATAATAAAATTGCACAAACCTCAAAGCCTAAATAACCATGTAAATGGGTTCTATGATTTTTGAGACAGATGGTGAATCACAACAGTGATGGGTTATGAATTCCAAAAAGATTGTCCTTCAGAATATAACAAAAAATGACTGAGGAAGATTTAAAATATAGTTAAAGTAAAACCAAAATAGAAAAATCACATCAATTTTTAAAAGATCAAGAACACAGAAACAGAGAACATATAGATTACATTAGAACCACTCTACAAAGAAAATCATTTTAAATTGAAACATTATGCTTATGTTAACAGAAGGAAATTGGAATGTATTTCAACAAGATGAGTAATGTTATCTGCTTCATTCCACATCGTGTCCAAGATTGTAGAAATTGCAGCCTACTATGTCTGTCAACCTGCTTATCACTTGCTGCTGGCCCAGAGATATGCCCAGCAACCATGGTCACTGTTGGGAACTCTTAATCTCCTTATCTAGTTCTTAGCTGCATAACATGAGACTGAATTAGGAGCCATTATGGAAGACAATTAAATTCTCATTAATAAGATCTTGCATTTCCAGTACCACTCAAAGGAACCCGGGTTAGATCACAGACAACTATATCTAGGTAAGGAACGATAGTCATCATTTGTCAATTTGGGCCAACAATAAATGAACTCTAAGAAGACATAAGCAAATATGGTGGAGCAAAATAAAGTGCTAACTTCAGCAGTGACTCCTGGTTATGTATTCTTGGGCCATTTCAGTATATTATTTTGTATATCTATATTAACTAATAATATATACGATAAAATACATAGCATGTGTAATTAAATATCCATAATATCACTTGTTCCTGCTTACATCCCCAGCCTCATCTCTCAACATTCTTTTCTTCTTTCTCTATTCTCCTTTCTCTATTCTTCAGCTCTGCTGCCATTCTCTCAGGATGCATCCTGCTTCTTCCTGACTCAAGAACCTTTATACCTGTTCTTTCCTCTACCTAGGCCCTTCTCCCCTTTAGCCAAGGTAGTTCCTATTTAGGCTTTAAGTCCCCTTTAAATGTCATTTTCCCTACCACTGCTTCACAGAAACTTGTAGGGTTTCTTCAATGTATTCACCCTAGTTCTGGTTAGTTGTAATGTCTGCCTTAAGTAAATGATAAACTAGAAGACAAGAGAGCTTCTACCTCTCCTTTTTGTTTTGTTTTTGTTTTTTTTTTTCTCCACAAACTATATTTCCAGTGCTTAGTGAATGAGCTCTTGAATAGCTCTGTCAGTGTTTGTTGAATGAATGGATAAATGAAGGATTCTGTTGGTGGGCAAGGTGTCACTCAGAACATTTCATACAATCTTGCTGTTGCACATGCAGAGAAAAATAACTTGGTGCCCAAAAATAAGGCCTCTTTTTGATATATTATTGCTTGTCTTTACTTACCTTCTGTATCCAGATGAAAACTTCAAAATTTTCCCTGAAGAATATTTTGGTGACCAAGAAAATTAACCACGAAAAATTCCAGCCTGGAATTTAGGTGAAAATAGGAGCTAGAAGATTCCTCTCATCTAATATTCCTGGAAAGGGAAGTGACTGGCCCCACTGACGTTTAGTGGTAGGCAATGGAAACTCAAAGACTGTAGCAAGAAGGGATTCACCCCACCACCCCACAGACTCTAATCAAGTGGCAAATGACAGCAGGACTTAATGAGACTGCAGTGATTTCAAGAAGACCTAGAGCATATTATATTATAATCTACTTTACAAATAAGGCTGGCTGATTAATCTGGAGTGGTCATAGCACTTAAGAGAGAAGCCCTTAGTCTTGGAAGTAATTGGTTTCAAAAGGGCCATCGAGGTGGGTCTGCAACAGTAGAAGGTCTAGGTGACACCCAGAGATGAAACATTACTACTGTCAAAGTGTATTGCTGATTTGCTGTGTGTTAAACATTCAGAAATACAAGTTTCCTGAACCCTATCTCCTCATGGGCAAACCCATCAGGAACAGTCCTCAAAAGTGCATTTCTGTGTTGGTACAGTACTCATATTCATTTATGATTTCATTTTTGTTTCACAGACCACCAATAAATTTGGGAAAAAATGCATCTACATATCCCTTCTTGGACAGTCACAATGTATATAACACATTGATGACTTTGAGAATTCCTGCACTAAAGAAGGTTATTCAACTCATTTGACTACTAATACTTCTTATTCATAAAAAAACTTATTTGTCAATAAAGATAGTCTCAACAAGGCTGATGTATTAAAAAACCTCTAAGTCTCAGTGGCTTAAAAGAGCAAGGTTTATTTATCACTCATGCAATATATCCATTGTGGTTGACTAGAAATCCTATGCCACATAGTATTTACTCTGATATCCAAAATATCAGAGCTACCATCATCTGAGCATTTTTTGTTGCTCTGGCAGAGAGAAGGTGAGCTCTGGGTGTTTTAACAATTAAATATTGCAGCCTGAAAGTGACTCGTAACTGTGGAATTTTGGCTCATAACTCACTGGCCAGAACTAGTCACATGGCCTCACTCAACCATGAGAGGCTGAGAAAGTACTATCCTACCATGTGTCTAAAAGGTAGACAGCCAGAAATATTTAGTGGATGGCACTAATGACAACCAAACCAGTTAACCTGACTAAACACTAATGTTCATTAAAGTATAGCTTGAACCCACTGCTGTTCATGGTTTTAAAAACAAGGATTGGGGATTTCCAGTTTTAAAATGACAGTACAGAATCAATCTGGCTTCACTCCATCCCACTCCCACCCACTCTCTCCCACTCCCTCCCTCCCTCCCCAAAACAGATATACAGCACTGAAATTTTCACTATCAACAACCCAGAACTCAAATATGAGGATGAAATAGTTCCCAAGGCCACAGGGAAGTGTAAAAATTCTGAGCAGATGGTAAGAAAAGTAGACTTCCACATCTGTGATGCCTTTCCTTCCCTATTCTTTCTGGCAACAAGTACATGGAAAATCTTCTCCGTGTAGAAACTCATCATTTCTACACTGGAAAAAATGAAACTCAGGCGGTAAACTAACTTTTCTACTATCTTGGTTTCCCTGGAAGGAAACTGTTCTTGCTTTAACCCACAGAAACTATTGTGACTGCCTGAAAAAGGAAATAACCCTGAGGAGAGACAGAGACAAAGTAGGTAGGTGGGATCCCCAGCCCTGGAAATTGCTCTGTAAGTTGGTCAAAGGAGATGTCAAATCAGAGCGGCTGTTCAGCAGCACCATGCTGCAGGAAGTATGTTCCACAGGTCCCTTGGGCACAAACCCCTAGCCAGTCTTCCCATACCTACAGGATAATATCTTTGGGATCTTATCGCATTTGGGTTAGGCAGCACTCCCACCATTTACTAGAGGAAGACAAACCTGGGCTTAAGATGGCATCTGGAGCCAAAAAGGAGGTAGCAACTTAGCGGTAATGATTTGTTAAGCAAATATATATATATATATATATATATATATATATATATATATATATTGAAGCCAGGAAGAGAAAATGGAAATAATTAATACTTCAATGCAAAGAAATAAATAAATACCTACTAGAAACAGCACCAAATAGGGAACCATGACCTCCTCAGAAGGACAAAGCAAAATCCAGTGACTAAGCCTGATTAGATGATGATTTGTGAGCTCTCCAACCAAGAATTCAAAATAGCCATTTTAAAGAAACTCACAGATCTCCAAGATAACATAGAAGAACAACTCAGAAATTTATCTGAGAAATCTAACAGAGATTGAAGTGATTTAAAAAATTAAACAGAAATCTGGGAACTGAGAAATACATTTACTGAATTGAAGAACTCATTAAAGGCTCTCAACAGCAGAATAGACCAAACAGAGGAAAGAATAAGTGAGCTCAAAGACAAAGTATTTGAAAACACAGTCAGAGGAGAAAAAAAGAAAACAGAAAAAGAAAACCCACAAAAACCTATAAGATACAGAAAATTACCTTAAAAGACCAAATCTAAGAATTTTTGGTGTTCAAGGAGGAGCTAAGCAAGAGGAAGAGGTAGAAAGCTTATTCAAAGGAATAACTGAAACCTTTCCAAAACATGAGAAAGATATAAATATCCAGGTACAGGAAGGTTTGAGAACACCAAACAGATTCAACCCAAATAAGACTACACCAAGGTATATAATAATCAAACTTAAAGGTCAGAGACAAAGAGAAAATCCCAAAGGCAGCAAGAGAAAGCAAATAAGATACAAATAAGATACAATCCAATTCATCTGGCAACCAACTTCTCAATAGAAACCACATAGGCCAAGAGGAAGTGGAATAACATTTTTAAAGTACTTAAGGAAAAAAAAATGCCATCCAGAATACTACATCCAGAAAAATTACCCTTCAAATATGAGAGATAAAGTCTTTCTCAGACAAACAAAAGCTGAGAGAATTCAGCACCACAAGAACAATTTTTCAAGAAGTACTAAAGAGTGTCTTTAATCTGAAAGAAAAAGCCATTAACACGCAAAAGGAAAACTTTTCAAGCTATAAACCCACTGCTAAAATTAAATACACAGACAAACCCAGAATTTGCTTTAACTTTGGTGTACAATCAATTCAAACTCTAGTACGAAGCCCAAAATACAAATCTATCAAAAACAATGATAGCTACAGCAACCTGTTAAGAGATAGATAATACAAAAATATGTAAATTGAGACAACTAAAAGTCCAAATGTCAGGGGAGTTGAGTTAAAATGTAGATTTTTGGGCTGGTGTGGTGGCACATGACTGTAATCCCAGCACTTTG